TCGGGCTTGATCTACGAGGAGACCCGCGGGGTGCTGAAGGTTTTCCTTGAGAATGTGATCAGGGATGCTGTCACCTACACGGAGCACGCCAAGCGCAAGACGGTCACTGCCATGGATGTGGTGTACGCTCTAAAACGCCAGGGCCGTACTCTCTATGGATTCGGCGGCTGAGCAAATCGACCCTTTTCCAGCGAACCCAAAGGCTCTTTTCAGAGCCATCCAATTCCTCCGATTGAGGGCGGAGACCTGAGGACGGGGAAAGCCAGCACATCGGGAGGGTGTATTGTACTGCAGCTCGTTATCTTACATCGCGACTTGTAATTCTGCCCAGATGCGAAATGTGACATATTCCAGTATTTCTATTTCATTAACGCTTCCTGGAATGATATCTGATTCAGTTTTGATTCTGGGACGCCTGCAGATATTTTAATGGCATGTTCTTTCTATTTGGCTGCTAAACGTAGCAATGACAAATTGTTTTCAGACGAATTATAAACTGGGTCTAATAAAAATGTGCCGATAAATTGAGATTGCGTAACTTTATTAGTGTACACTATATTTGCTTTTATTATGTTTAAATCGACGGGATTGTTTAGATTCATTAACGGCGGTTACACGTTCGGTTGATCAGTTTGTGCTGTATTAAACCCCGCGCTTTTCTTCTGCCTGTTACAGACAGATCATACAATAATCCCGTGTCCCGTCGCGCTGTGTGCAAGCTAGGTTTTTTAAAAATCCTACAAAGTATTAGACTTTACTGTCGTCGGACTTTATTTTTCCTTTAAATATTTAACTTAATCTCAGGATTGTGAGGGTAAAATCGGCGGGCTGTTTGAAATTGACCAACTGTCATTTCAAGTTAACCAATCAGCTTCCAACAATTATTTTATTGCCTTTTCTGTACCTCCAGGAGCTGTTTCTCAGTGGGTTGAGGGACGGGACTGTATCCATTCCCAGCTCGAAGGCGGGCTCTTCATTCCCTTAAATTGGCAGCACCGCAACAAACTCAGCATTGACAGCGGTAGCCTGTAAGTCTGTTGCATAGAGTTGAAGAGAATGGCCAGAACCAGGCAGACAGCGCGCAAATCCACCGGAGGGAAGGCTCCCCGCAAACAGCTGGCGACCAAAGCGGCCCGCAAGAGCGCTCCGGCCACGGGCGGAGTGAAGAAGCCTCATCGCTACAGGCCCGGCACGGTGACTCTGCGGGAGATCCGCCGCTACCAGAAATCCACCGAGCTGCTGATCCGCAAACTGCCCTTCCAGCGCCTGGTGCGGGAGATCGCTCAGGACTTCAGAGCTCGGCCGTGATGGCCCTGCAGGAGGCCAGCGAGGCTTACCTGGTGGGGCTGTTTGAGGACCCCAACCTGTATGCCATCCACGCCAAGCGAGTCACCATCATGCCCAAAGACATCCAGCTGGCCCGCCGGATCCGCGGGGAGCGCGCCTAAACGGAGCGTGCCCGGCCCTGCACGTTAACCCCGAGAAACACAACGGCTCTTTTCAGAGCCACTAAAGTATCCAGAAAGAGCCGAACTGATCCGTGACGTACGTTTCTTTGTTATATTTCTATGTCTTGTTGTTATTGCACCGCTTTAATTCACCCGTAACTGCAGGAATTGCATCTGACTGAGAAACCAGTGCGTAGGACTGAT